ACTATAGGGCGCATGCGCTCGCCAGACAGAGAGAGACAGAAAGCGAGAAATCACCCCCCAGGGGGGATGGTCACGCTGCAATCCCTTCTCCTCCATTCTCCTCTCGGGATCCTGGGCACGCACGCACACGCGCCCGGCGTGAGTTTTAAGCCACTGGGTCTGAGACGCAAACCGCGGTCACATACGTGGGAGGCCAGCAACATAGCCATTACGCTAGCTGCTGGTTCCCATTAATTCATTTTTCTTTAAGTGTCTGCTGTAGGTCATTTGCTTTCACCAGAGAGAGATACAAACATAAAACAATAAGTGAGAAATTAATCCTCAGGAGGTTGGTCATATCTTAAACCCTTTTCCCCCACACTGAAAGGCAGAGAGAACGTGAGGAATCTCCCTCTCAGGGACAATGGCCTCACCACAATCCTTTCTCCTCCGTTCTTCACTTGGGATTTGGGGCATACATGCGCATGCACCTAACATGATTTTCAAGCTGTTGGGTCCAGGACCCAAACCGCGGTCGGCCATGTGGGAGTCTGATACCTTAACCAGCATGCCCCCTGCTGGCCCCATTTTATTATTTGTTTGAAAATTCAATATAGGGTATGTGTGCTCACCAGAGAGAGACAGAGACAGAGAGGGAAAGTGAGAGAGCAACCTGCCAGGTCCGGGACTCGAACCACAGTCAGCCATGTGAGAGTCTAGCCCACAGCCACCATGCCACCTGCCGGCCCACTACCTCCTGTCTTTAAAATTGCACAAGACATGGGGCAAAGGAGAGATTTAGAAGTCAGGAAGCCCCACTGCACCTCTGCAGGCTCCTGCCTCCTGGTACCCCAGCCCTGGTTCCCCGCGCTGTGTACATTTCTGCCCCCACCTCCAGCACTGCCTGAACCGGGTCACCCTGCCCTCCAGCCATGTCGTCCGCCACATCTCGGCAGAGCCCTGTATCCCAAGTCCCTCTGCCCACTGCGTGCCCAGCCGGGAGCCAGGAGCCAGGGGCAGAGAACAGGCTGACGTTGGGCACCATTGCAGCGCCCTCTCATACACTCCCCGCCACACCCCTGCCTCGGGTCAGTCCTCGAATCACAACCCACTTCAGGGCCTGGCGAGGCCTCCCGAGATGATGGACAGACGTCTTGCTCACCTGGCAGGGATGCCTACCTGGCCCCTCGCCGAGAGTAGCTGCCGGGAGGTCGACCACATCCTCCTTCCTCATCCTCCTATGTACACCCCCAACTCCTCCCACACCCGCAGCTCTGGCCACACAGCCAGGGGCAGCCCTCGGTGAGCAGGAAGTCCCTGCGTCCACCCCCCTGATCCCTACTTCTCCAAAGTCACCCCCTCTGTTCCCGACACAGCCAGTCTGTCTGTCTCCTGGCAACTGCCAAGGCCATCTCGGGGCCACCATGGCCTCAGGGACCTCGTGGCCACACACTCACATCCTGTCCAACTCCTGGCACTCAGGGTGAAGGCCACCTCTTCTAACATCCACAGACACCTGGCCTCTCCTCGGGTCTCCCTCCTCCTGTCCCGTGGGGTGTTGGTCAAGGGCTGGGGCGGGGGCAGCCAGGGCGGAGCAGGGGTCCAGGCTGCAGGGGGTGCTCCGCCCCAGACAGTGGGAGCCTAGCTTCTAGGAAACGCAGCACTCCGCACCTCCTCCTACTCTTCCCCAGTCTGACCCGGGCTGACCTGACACACCCTCCCAAGTTCCTGCATCCAGCTGGGAGGCCACAGGTCAACACCATCCAGGGCCTGGACTCCCCTCAAGGCCAGGGCTACATCTGCCCCAGGAGATTCTCCATGGCCCCACTTCTCAAGTAGGAAACTGTCGGGAAGGGGAGGGCCTCGGAGCCCGGCACCAGCCCACGCTCGCATTCTCATGCCCTCCCCACCTCCGCTCTGCTCTTGCCGTTCCCTCTACTGCAGGGCACCCCTGGTTTTCTGCTCGCTCGGCATCAGCAGGTGTCAGGGAGACCCGGCCCTCACGGCTCTGACCTCCTCCAGGCCATCCCAAAGGGATCCTGCTGTGCTGTCCCAGGACTGGGAGTGTGCATCTGAGTGTGATGTCCAGCCCAGCCTCTCCGCACATGAACTTGGCAGGCCTGACCCCGCTGGCTCCCATGATGCCCTGGGCACTGACCACTGGAACTCGTCCCAGCATCCCGGGCTAGAAACGGCCGAAGTCCTCAGTCCTCAGTCCTCAGTCCTCAGTCCTCGGTGTTCACACTCTTCTCAGTCCCTGCCTCTGCAGCCAAACCACCCCTGGCAGCATAAAGACCCAGGGGCGGGCCAGCCCGTGGCATGGTAGTTAAGTTAGCTGGACCCCATATGGCCACCATACAGTTCGAGTCCCAGGCCTGGCAGTTTGAGAAATCCACCGGGTGTGTGCCCAAAATCCCGAAAGGAGGGAGAAAGGGACAAGGGATTGCTGCACGGCCATTCCCCCATGGGGGGGCATCACGTTTTTACTTTTCCGCCCTCTCTCTCAGGGAGTTCAGGAGCCCCTGACCCCCACCCACTCTTTCAGGTGACTGGTCTCCAGCAAATTAAAAAAACATTAAGAAAAAATGAAAGGAGACCCAGGGCCTCAGTATATGGCATGCAGACCCACACACCCATACACGCGAGCACACACGTGCACAGAGCACGTCCCGCACTGCACGTGCACACAGGTGCACGCACACAAGCACACCCCACATGCACTGCACTGACAGGCAGGCTGCAGAGGGGGACTGCTGCTCCTGCCGCCTCCCCTGCCCTTACCACCGCCCTGCCCTCACTGCCCTGCCCTCACTGCCCTGCCCTCGCAGCCCTGCCCTCACAGCCCTGCCCTCACAGCCCTGCCCTCACTGCCCTGCCCTCCCTGTCCCTGCCCTCGCTGTCCCTGCCCTCGCTGTCCCTGCCCTCGCTGTCCCTGGGGGGGTGAGGAGTTCCCAGGAATCAGCTCCGTCTAGCCATTTTAGGGAAGGATGGTGTCTAGCGTCTCCTTGGGCCCTGAGCCCGCAGGGGTGTGAGGTTCCAACGTGGAGGTGTGGAGCCATGGGACCAAGCAGCCCCGGGAGCCCGGCACGTGCTTGCTGGCTGCAGCCTGGCACAGGCACGCAGTGGGTGCTCAGTGACTGAGGACCAGCCAGCGCCCAGAGGAAGGCTCAGAGCAGCTCAGGAATAGCACAGGGCACACAGTAGGGACCCAGAAATGCTGGCTTAAAGGCTGAAGCCACAACCTTTGGATGGCATGCTGTTTAAGCCGCTGGACTCCCACAGGGCTGACTGCAGTTCAAATCCCAGATCTGGTGGTTTGCCTTCTCATATTCCCTTTCTCTCTCTGAGCAAATTAAAAAGTAATAGTAATAAATTAAATTAATTAGATAAATAAATATTTGAAAAGAAAAGAAAAACTTTCCAAACTGGGGTGACCCCTACAGGGAGGCTAGGGTTAGCCCTGCAGGAGGACTTAAATGAACCTGACCCTAAGACCGCAAAGGGCGAGAGGGAGGGCCTGGGACAGTTCCTGTGGCTGGCATCTGTCCCTCTGCCTGAGCTAGAGGAAGGCACTATTTATAGTTCCCCCCTGGCCCAGCCCCCTCTCCCCTGCAAGGCGACGGTGCTCCCTCCTCCCGGCCACTGACAGCGGTGCTCCCTCAGAGCACCTCCGTGCCTGGGGGACCCCGTGCTGCACCGGCTGGTACAGACTGGGTCACAACCTCCCCGTGCCCCCGTCTCTTCCCAAACCCCACCTTGCCACGCTGCCCCGTGCCTACCCTGCCTGCTGCTCCCCGGCCCTGGG